CTCTCTCTCTCTCTCTCTCTCTCTCTCTCTCTCTCTCTCTCGCGCGCGCTCTCTCTCTCCGGACGCAGCCGTGAGATAAAGATGAGAGAGCAAAAGGGATCGTCCGGAAAGTAAGTTCGGTAGTCGCGCGCCGTTACGAACCGTGCTCTCTGCAAGCTCTCGTAGCGCCCGGTGGGTAGGCCGCATCTAGCCTGCAGTGCACGCGTGTACCGCGGGCTGGCCTACCCCGAGTCTCGCAGGCGGTCGAGCTCCCACAGAGAGCCGAATTAATCTGCGAAAAAGCGGGTGTACGTTCTGGACGATAAGTAATCTGACAAGGGGAACGGCTGTTTCAGAAATATTGTCACAGCGGTGGGGCTGTGGCGCGGCTGCGAGGAGGCCTTAGCTCGCTTGCGCAGCTGGACACCACCGACCCCGACCCCCTCGTCCCAGCGAGGTTCGCGCCCACCCTTTCTCTCTCCTCGCTGGCCTATGCAAACAGTTCGCGCGAACCGGCACTTAACTGTGCGGCGAAAAGGAAAGTAAACGAAAAGGGAAATTATTATATTTTCGTTTTGCGGGGCGTGGCCACCGTCGCACGGTGCTCTCTGCCGCTATACACAGCGTTCCGAGGAGGCGGAAGACGCGGGCATTTCACGCAAACCGTTGACGACACGACGTTCGATGCGCAGTTTCCTCACCCCCCACCTCCTGCCGCCGTCCTCAATTTACATTATTCCGTATTTGGTACAAGCATGTTGGCACCATTTGCTCGGCCCCCGACCGCCCCGACTGCTTGTCATGCTGTTTATGCCTCTCTGCGACCCAGCGGCGGCGGGCCTGGAGGCCCTGCAGGGACTCCCATCCCCCCAGGTCATCAGAGGACACCCCGGGCCTCAATAACAAGCGAGCCCCCCGCCCAGTTTGGCAACCTTCTCTAAGGACTCCGACCTGCGACACATAGGAGTACACTGCTCTAAAACCAAATCAGAGTGCGATGGAATGAGACATGGGCGGTACATATATGATTCGATCGTCCCCCTCCTCCCTATTGAGAATCCCTTGGTCCTTGCTCGAGGGGTAAACAAGGGCCGGAGGGACAGCTAGGGGGAAGTAGAGTTTACTTTGCACGCCGTGCGACGTGCGTGAGCGTATCTCTGTGTGTGTGTGTGAGAGAGTGAGTTTGTCCTGCGTGAGTCTGTGTCTGTATGTGTGGGGTGGGTGGGTGATGTTGTCTAGAACTAGACCAACGTCGGGCCCCGTGGTTCGCACAGGCAGTCACGTCGGACAAATAATAAACTCTGCCAAGCGGAACCCTCCTCTGCTCTCCGGTCCAGTTCTGGTGGCGCCAACAACTCGCCAGCTCACGCTAAGCCCTGGACCATTATGTTGTGCACAAGGCTTTCAGAATTTTGTTCAGGCATAGTCATGCGCACATGTTTTCGTATGGATAACTATCCACATTAATGCCCTCTGAGCACAAATGTGTGCATAGCCATGTTGCATAGTTATGCCACCGGAAAAATGGTTCTTGGTTTTACGGAAATATTTTCTTTGAAGCGTGTCGTATAATTACAATCCAAAATTACAAGCACTATGTACCGACTTGAAATTCATCAACGAGCAAGTTTGAGGTGTCACAAATTTACGACATAGTTTGTAAATACAAAGTAGAAAATATATCGTAAATTTACGACGATATTTTTCACAGAGGCGATAATGTTTGTGCGTAACTATGGCTGCGAAAAATTTTGCACCTTGTGCACAGCACACTGCACAAGGGTTTAGTGTGTGCGGCGCTGGTCATGCGAGTCCTTGGCGGACTTACCCGTCTGCGTACTCGAGTCGAAGAAAGTGGAGCCCGTCTCGACGGTCATCGTGGCGAGGGTGCCGTCCGTGATCTGCGCGCACGAGTCCCGGCGGCCGCGGTAGCGCCCCGTGTCGTCCGACTGCGAGCTCTGGCGCCTGGAACAGGCCGGGGGGTGAGCAGTGCAAAGGCACCGTGCGGGTCTGCAGTGCTGAGCGCTCGGGAGAGCAGGTGGTGAGTGCAGGCCAAACAAGTACCGCAGGTAGACAAAGATAACCTACAATAATAACGCCAGAACGACATTCGAAACGCAATCATGCACGTACTTTTAGAACCGCGGTTCAGTAAAAATAATAAAAAATTGTTCGCTTGCAAAAACGCTTTAAAGTACCGGACAGTGTTTACGAATTCTTTTCCCTTTCATTTTCAGCATGCTTTCGCAGCCATCAGAGTCTACTTAGAAATGGATTTACTTGGGAGTGGTCCCCCATGCACGTGACACAAAAGCGATCCTAAAGCTTCCTCCACGCTGCCTGGGGAGTGAGCCGCACAATTAGGAGGCGTGTGTTTTTACGCGGGTAACGGGCGCGCGGTGGCCAACGCTCTCTACGTCGGATGAAAGAAAGATTACAAAGTAACCAAGCTAGACAAGCGCGTTTGTAACTACGGTTAGGGAAAAGATTATCATTACTGCTGCTGTAGAAACGTTACTGTAGATTTTAAATAATACGATATAATGATAATAGTAGTAATATACCACCAGGGGGAAAACAAAGACGAACTAAAATGTACACCGGCTAAAATTGTCATAAAGTTTTCGAGAAAAATTAATGAAAAAGATTTTAAAACTTTCTGACAATTTAAAGGATCGTACAGCAATATTTCGCTGTTGCTTAGCCCCCTTGTAATGCGCTAATAGTTGTAATAATATAATAATAACGTAACAATTTAATAAAGGATCTCTTCTACAAGCAGGTGTAGGCCTACGGAATGGTAGTCCACTGACCGGTAGGGTGACCCTGGTATCTGCAGCTCCATGTCGGACCCGAGCATGTCGAGGCCTTCCTCGGGGACCGTAGTAGGGGAGGGAGTCGTTGATATAGCGTACCTGCCATACCTGAAGTTCCGACATCTTATCATCTCCTCGGTCGTCGACTGACGCCGAAAGCCGCGGGCGATTAGGATTTCCTCCGTGGTGGACTGTCGCCGGATGGCGGGGGCGTGCGGGGGCGACGGGCCGGACATCTGGGCGGAGCTGCGGCGCGTCAGCTGGTCAACAGAGACGGACGGCGGGGCTGAGCGTAGCTGAGCGCGGCGGGCAGGGCGAGCGCGGGGTAGCGGCCGCGCGCAGCCCTACCCCTTGTGGGGCCCTCCAGCCACACAGCCGAGGGGGACTGCAACGGCCACTGATCGGAACACCTCATTCTGTGCCTGCGTCCCTCTCGGCTGCATCGGCGCCCGTGCTGGACCACTACTAACTGCGATGGCCGAGGTGGCTCTGCTGCCATCGACGCGGAATCAGCCTCCTTTCCGTCAGCCCGGAAACGGAGGTAAACGCAGCGGACGAGGCGCTGCCGTCTCCACCCGGCCATCACGACCACGACCACGCCCCGGACCGGGCGCGCGCTGCTTACCTGGTGTCGGCCGCCGCTCGGCGACGGGTCCCTGGAGGAGCAGGTGGACGAGCTCTCCGGCGACCTCGGGGCGCGAGGCCCGGCCACGGAAGTGGACTGACGGCGAAGTCGCCCGCGTCGCCCTCGGCCCACCTGACGAGCCACAAGGTGTACACTCTCTAGCGCATCTTTAAAATTCATTTTGCCATTTTTGTTTTATTAGTATAGAGTAAAGGCGGAGGAATGGGAATAGGAAGGGGCGGGGACTACGGCCGAGCGATACGACTTTTTCGGTTTTTGTTTTTTGTTTGTATTGTTTTTAATCATTAGTTAAGTTGTTTCAGTTTTGAGGGCGCAGGCGACAATATCGGAGAGGGAAGTATGGGAAGGGCGAGAATGCACACTTTTTACTACAGGCTACAGGGAAGGGGTCATTCAGTTGCAGCGGCAGAGCTAAGGGTTTAGTGCTGTTGATGCAGAGGATTGTTACTGACTATGGAGCCTGTAAAAAAGTTGTAAACAGCAGTTTATAACAAATATATGTTTGAATTTTTCTGCGAAAGATGGCGGATAAAAATTAGTCGTGCATTCAATTTAATCCAGAGGTTTAAAATAAAATAAAAATTACCGCAGTAGTCTAATCTACAAAGATTATCAAATAGGTTTTGTGTGCTTGATATATGCCCTACACATATCTACGTTGTGTCAAAAACCATGATTTGGTTCTCAATGGCAACCCTACTCATTACTCAGCATATGCTTAAAAAAATAAAGCAAATAAAATGTTTAGGTTAATAAAAAGGCACTGCCGATGAAAAATACTTTATTGGGTTTAGTAATAAAATGCTCATGCTAGAGGCAAGTTTTCGCGCTTTGAGAGTATAGCACCCGACATGACAGACATGCGATCACCTACCATGGCATTCAGTGCATCTTGCGCTACGGGTGCATTCCAGGACCGAGGCCGGACCAACTTCTTACTCGGCTAAAAATGTAAAGAAATGCGAGTCTCTCACCTCTTTCTCGAACATGCTGTCTCGAGGATTCAGAGTGTCGTATAGTGTAACGTGATAATAGCATTTGGCCGGAGGCGGCACTTAAGTCGAGCATACTTCTCATCTTGTATGCTTGTCTTATGTGCGACACCACGCCAAATAGGCAAACCAAAATTGGAAAAAAAGAGAGAGAGCAACCGGTGCAAATAAAATAAATATTAAGAAAAAAAACTGTCGCTGTTTTCATAATGATGCATGCATGATACAAAACAGTTTTCAAATAATTGTCTCCGTACGAAATTGACATTTCTTCAATATTAAGCAGTAGTAAGGCTGACCGAAATGCTACCCTTTCCCAAAAATGAAGAAGGTAAAGAAAGAGGAAGAAGGCGCAGATATAGAGAAGAAGAATAGAACGCAGACCGTGGAAAAGAGAAGAGAGCGAGAAAGAGCGAGTCCATACCGGCGACACGTCCCGGGAGCCTGGTGGTCCCGCCCTGTCGGGCGAGAGTCTGGAAGCGCGCGAGTCGCGCCTGGAGTCCCTGCGCCGGTGGTACGAGGCCGAGTCGGGCGAGAGAGAGTCGCGGCGCGCGCGCCGGCCCTGCAGTGCGATCACACACACAGAAGCACACAATGTGCACACACACACGAAGCAAGCGGAAAGCACAACGGTCAACCGTGTTTGGAAGCACAGCAGACTGAAGAGAGTCTTGTATCGTTACGGGAGGCCGGGAGGGCACCTTAAGTTACTTGCTTTCAATTGTTTACCATTACTGCGCAAAAGCCCTGCACCCAGAAAATCGAATCCTTACAAACACGTTACGAATTGTTTTTCTTATTTCAAAGGAATTCCCCACGTTTGAAAACAAAAAATCACTGTGTAAAATAGTTTTATGTAAACAAAGGTAAAGTTTTCTTAAGGAAAATAATACTTTTTCTTTATGTTTATTTCAGGGAAATCGCATTGGTTCAAGGATACTGAAAAGTTGTAAGGATATCCTCGTTTGAAGGAAACGATTCTCTGGGTGTGCTACGCGTGTGGAGACTCGTAAGCGTGTGTGGCTTCATACACTTCGCCAAGGTGTGCACAAGAACGTTTTACAGGTGAATTCATGTTCATATGACCGAAATGGCATTTTAGAGCACCACAGTAGCACTCTGCCCTTTTGGGTCGAATCTAATCACAGTTTATGTATGTTGCACGGGCCCCGTACTTGGCTTTTTTAGTTATTCTTTACGGCACGTATGCATGCTGTGCTGAGCAGGTTGCCTACTCTGTTCGGTGTCATGGGGGCCCATAGTGAGCGCCCTCACGCCTGTATATATGCAGCACATACCCCTATTATAGGTATATGTAAGACAAAGGTACGAGGCCTAGCAGACACTCTGTTGCACCACATGTGTTAGATCATTTTTGACGTTCACTTGCAATTGTTTGCCTAGCTCAACATGTACGTACAACAGCGGTTCAAATCAGAATTTCTTGTTTTTACTCAAAATACATCCACACGCAACTTTTTTCTACTGATACAGTGATGTGTAAAACGCACACAGTCCTGCTGCGGACGGGTACCTTTTACACGCCGAACGGCTCGGCTACGACCGAGGCCAAGCAGCTGTTACGTTCGGTCTGGCGCCTCTAGGGAGTCTACGTGGCCGGGAGTGAGGTCATTACATGAAGCAGGCTCCAGTGCCAAGGTCGTACGGTACGGTACTCAGCCCGCCCGGCAGGCAAGCCGGCAGGCCTACACAGCAGAAGCCGCTACCAGACTACCGCGCTTAAGAAGGATGGATCATTTCTGACGCTTTCGATATACCAAAAAAATAAAGATATTACGCAAAGGTTTACGGCTAGGTAAAAGTAAACTGTTAATTACTCGCGTCTCCTCGGACAGCGCACGGTGTCCCGACCGCAGCAGAGCTCGCTGCCATGGGGTCATGAAAAATTCATTCATTATTCGTTTGAGTGTGTATAACCATCCGCCAAAATGACAAAGTTCCACCACACACCGTCTCCCCCTTTCCCTAATTTGAGCAGATATTCGTGTGCTAAGTCAGCCTCCCGCCTCGAGGGACGGGCCGACAAGGCAGGATAAGGGGGATGATGCCCGCGTGACGCCTCGACACACGGACGAGACGGGCGCGCGGGCCCGCCAGCCGCCTCGGAGCTGGATGGGATGTGCGAGATAGGCGCGAGGGGGAAACGACTCGGGTGATCCGCTAGACACGGCCCGTGTCGACCGGGGAGTGATCAAGTGGGGTGATCAGTAGGTTATCCAAGCGTAATCTGAGGGTAATCCAGGGGTAATCCAAGAGTAATTTGGGAGTAAGCCAGGAGGAGTAAGCTAGAATTGATCTGGGTGGGGGTAATCCGGGGGTAATTCTGGAAGTAATCCGGGGGTGATCCAGAGATGGTTCAGGGATCCCTGGAATATCGATAGTAAAGAGATAGTCCAGGGGTAATATCCGAGTAACCCGGGGTGTCATCCGTTGTACGCGAGATCTTATAGAGTCGTCCCCTCCTCGCGCGCAGCAAACTCCTCGAGGTGACACATAATGACGTTAAACAGTATAAACACCAGCAGCATGACGTGACGGAGAGATGCCACAGGATGATGCCGCGTGGCTGCCACTCACCGGCGACACGTCCCTGGAGCCGGCGCCGGCCCGGTCGGGCGACAGGTGGCTGCGCGAGTCCCGCCGGCCCTGGGGCGCCGGGGCGTTGGGCCCGCCGCCGCGGTACGAGGCCGAGTCCGGGGACAGCGAGTCGCGGCGCGCCTGCCGGCCCTCGCCCGCCTCGCCCCAGACGCCCGGCGGCAGGCACGAGTCGTCGATGGCCGTGCTCTGGCGGCGCAGCCGGGGGAAGCGCACGGGCGAGTGCTGGTCGCGGCTGTGGCGCCGCTCGGGGGAGGCGTGCGCCCGGCTGTCCCGCCGGCTCGACTTGTTGGTGTACACCTGAAACCAGAGCGGGGCGGGGGGGATGTCAGCAGGGGGGTG